CAGATTGATGAATTGACTGACTGGACATTGTGCTATGAGCAGTCTTTGATCTCACACTGTGTCACATTGTGTTACAGAAGAGTTAATTATTATTGCACAACATATTAGAACCTGTTTGAGCAGACACCCTCTATTAAGCAGATGCTAATGAGGGTCCCAAGGGTGTCCCCTTAATACAGGTTTCACCATACTGTAAAAATATGCACCTTAAAAGCCATGTTCCTATGTATGCATGCATGTTTACATTGCCTGATACAAAAAAAACAACAAACAGTCTGGGAGAATTTAACAGTTTATGTAAACAGGAACAGTAAAGGAACAACATTCTTTAAACACTACATGTACATACCCTCCCTGGATGATCATGTTAAATATTGCCAGCACCCATGGAAGGTACATTGCCTAAAAACAAAAAGAATGCATCTTCAAAATCCATGTGTACACAACTTAAGTTCTTTTCAGTTATTGACGAACATCACACATAGAACGGTTTGAAGAAAGTGAGTGAACTGACGGGCACATGTAATTTTTTGATGTCACTGAAGAATATGACAGACACAACACATTAGGAGCCCACTTGTTAGGTTAGCTTCTATTATAAATGTATTAGCTTCTGAAGAAACTGCTAGGTTGTGTTAGTGGGCAAGAAAAACACTAAGCTAAGGGAAATAGAGCACTTGCTCTGATGGAGGCCTAGCATTTGTAACGTCAGCTTCACAAACTTGCTATGGGAGTTAATTTACCTGTACCAACTTCAAGTTGATAATCCAAAGAAAAAACTTGAAAATCACCTTCAGTTTAAAAATAGTTTTAAAGTGGTACTATGACGAAAATCGCATCTTTCCTACCTAAGCCATTTTAAAACATAAACAAGTAGTCTGTATGAGAAGAAAAATGCAATTTACTATTTTCCAAATATCTCTTTTCATTCCAGTGATATTCAAGTTTTTAAAATATGCAAATTTGCCAAGTGATGACGTCATACACTCAATCAAATCTTCATCAAATATAATGAAGAAAGATATCTAAGCCAATTTGTATCAGAAGTGTTTGATTCTTTGCAGTAACATTGTTCTACTTGTGCTCCACAATACGAGCTTGACAGTCTTGTTACCATGGCAACATACTGGGTTCCAGACCTCCCCAATATCATTGGCTTTTCTGGCCACCTTTGGCATTCCATTTTGATATTTGCTAATGATACCTCATATGCATGATACAGCAAGCATATGAATATGTTAGGTTGAGTTCATGGCCTTGTTTAATGTTTTTTGGGCTGAAAATCACCAAAATATTGAAATCAAGTGGGTGGAGACTGGAAAAGAGTGAGTTGCCATGGGAACAGAATTTTTTATGGCCGTAGGTGTGTTGCCTGTAGAACTATTAGCCTACCAAGTTTCATTGGTCTGTGATGCAAATTGACCAAGATAGCTCTATTTCATATATACTTGATATAATATTGGGTTGATTATATGACGTCATCAGTTATCTCACTTGCATATTTTACACATTTTTCAAACTTAAATATCTCCAGAACAAATACAGATATTTGCAAACCTTAAATGGCGTTTTTATTCTTTCATAATACACCGAAAAAAAATCTAGGGGTCAAAATTTGATCATAGTACCACTTTAAGTGTTTACCTTTCATTACAGTGACACAACTTGACAAGGGTAAGAAAAATTCAAGATGATTAATACAGCTGAGTGCTTTACTTTTATTACAGCAGCACAACTTGACAAAAGCTGAAGATTATTTTGGACAAAAAAATAAGCAAAGAAACAATTCTTGAGTTTGTAAGAAAAACACTACGATCCGATGCATATGACCTCACACATTGCAAGAGCACAGGATCACAGAGAAAAAGAAAAATGAAGCAGCAGAAATTGACTGAACTTTACTATACAGTCATGGATGAGCTCACCCTGCATACACTGCACCTAGCAGTTTCTAAGTGCTAAAGCAAAGGAAAAAAGAAAGAAAAGCAGCATAGGGAATATAAGCACTTTGACTTTGATGGTAGGAGACCACTGACTGCATATTGTTTACTAGGCATTTATAATATTATAAAGATAAAGGCAAGCCTACCTTAAATTGCATTCCAAACCAGAACTGTACAATCGTATCTTTATTTACTTGGCACCAAACATACAGAACACTTAAAACAAGGGGATCCATGAGAAGCTGAAATGGAAAGAAACAGATTTTAATCTTTGTAAGACCAACATTACACGACCTGACACTTATTTTTACCATCAGTGTGCAAACCAGTTTTTTATTTGTTCCATCAATTAGAAGATAGTAGGTTGTAAATTTAAATGTCATAACTCTCCTTCTTTTTCCCCTTTGTCTCAGATATTATAATTATTAAATATTATATTATAATATATTATATTACAACTACTAAATTATTTTACTTTTTATTTATTTATATCAACTTTATTTGCACTTTGTACGTGCAAATTGGGTGCCAGGAGGGAAGAACTTGTAATAATCTTCATATAAAGCTGACCTGCTTAATAAAAATATGTAAACTACATACAATTCTAAAGCATTAAATGTTCTCCTCTGTGGACTCACATTTAAAATGTAAAGTAATTTCCTGTACTCAGAGTGCAATAAAATATTTTCTAAAAGTGGAATATTTCTTTCGGCTCAACCAAACTTCACCAGCCACAATACTATTATTACTGTTGACTGTGGGCTAATAAAGACAAGGACATTTATCTGAATTTGTAAAGTAAAAACTATGTTGTTTATATTATTTTGAACAAGAACTTGATAAAATATCCAACCTAATTTAAACATGTCCCGAGGCATCATCAGGGCTCAAAAAAAACCTTGAATTCCAGCTTGCCCTTTGGACAAACAGCTCTCAAATTTTGCTTGTCCTGCGCAAGTCTTAGTTAACTACTTTTTTTCTTATTTAGTTGGCACATGACTTGCTTTGGCCCTTGCCCATTGGGCAAGTGAAAATAAAAAGTTACTTGCCCCGCAAGAAAATTTACTTGTACATCCTGGACAAACGGACAGCACTTTTTCGAGCCCTGATTATTCTAAAAAGAAAACTAACTTACTCTCAAGGGTATAAGAAATCCTATGATCTGATGTCAGACAAGTCAAGGAACATTCCAGTTAGCAAATTGTACCACCAAATTACATTCAATTGAGAAGCTTATAAAAGGATACAATTAAAATACAACAATTGAAGAGTATCATAAACAAATAGTCAGCTGGTCGACCATCAAAAAGACCTGCAAGTAATTAAAAATGAACTTTATTGTCATTAGCACATCTACATGCTTTGACAGAAAACAGTTGCTGTCCATCATAGCACTGATAGCCTGCGAACACAGATGTATTTCCAGCTGTTGCTTGTCTCCGCCAAAAAATAACATCTGCGAACCCGAGCCAGGAAACGATTTCTGTGATCTAGGAATTCTAAGCCAATCACAGTTTAGCTCAAATAGCCCCAGAACTACTGCACAAGGTATTTGCTACAAGGAGCATTCGAGTTTCATTCTATCATGGAATCTGATTGGCGAAAGAGAAAACAAAAGTCATTACATCACAGAAATCGACAGCTGGAAATACATCTGTGTT